CCGACATGTATAAAACTTTTGCTGTTTCATTTTTCCATTTTGCAGTGAAATTTATGGGCTTCCTGTTTGTCAAGGGGCGGGGCCATAATAATATTTTTTTTCTTACTTGACTTGAGTAACATTGTACCAAATCTCATGTCTTCGAGAAAAAAAAAACTTGACCTCCTAAAGTCCCATAGGGGTATTATTTTGGCTGTTGTAGGTGGGCGCTGTTCTGTCATTTTTTGAGTCACATAAAAATAAACACCAAAATATCAAATTTTCGCCAGGTCTGATTTTTGTGGCCAAATTAACAATAGCAATAGTCCTACTCCATTGCATGATGCTTTTCTGTCTCCACGAAGCGTCAGATACACTGATACTAGTACAGTGCGGACGGTAGACGCGGAAATGATAGCAAGAAACAGCGCAAAACATGACTAGTACAAGCATACTAAAATAGTCATTGTATAGCAAGCATCTACATACATAGGCACATGATATAAGTAGACAAAACAACGTTTGATGAGCAGTGATATCTTATTATGACGCCCCTAGATCATAAATCGGAAATAAAATGAACATCAAACTACAGATAGATATGAGCTGTTATCATGCAAAAGAATGTGTTCACATGTGCATATGAGATGAGTACGAGCTACTTGCATGGGTCTAAACCAGTCCCGAGTTTGGGATGAGTGTAGCGCCATCGCGATCACCTGTCCTGCACGTCTTCATGAGATCGATGACAGCGGTGATCGCTGAGCATAAAAAAGTCGTTCCATTGTCCTAATGCCTGTTAGTCTATCTATCTACCGCAACAGCATTAAATGACACAGTCTTAGAGTTGTAAATTGCGCTATCAAAAAGGTTGTTTTGGTTCAGTGAGGCTCCCCGCAGGCTCGCAGTTTAGACTCTGCCGGTTTCGCTCATGGAGTAGTGGGCGGGCCGTGACGTCACATGCAAGGGGGTTCAATACTGGACGCTATCATTCAACCTAATCTTTAAACGCATGGAACAACCTATGCTCGGTCAAGAGTTTTCTGGTCTGGTTTGTCTCCCCAGGTTGATACCCCCGCACCGCCTTGACTAAAAGGTTTGGACATGGAGGGGGATGCGAGAGGGTGGGGGGGGGGGGGGGGGGGGGGGGGTTGGGGGGGGGGAGCCGGAGGCGGTGTGTTAGAACCAATTATCCCACAGAGCCACAATGTGACGACCACAAGGGGGGTCCCAGTACCGGCATCTAAGTGGTACATGAGGGAGAGGTGTTACTGCATTTTTCCTTTTGTGTGTGTTTTGTGTCAAAACAAATCATAAGTTTCTTAAACTTACACATGTCTTTGGATTTTTGCATTTCAATCATAAGGTTGATTCTGTCTCCTAAGGGGGGGGGGGGGGGGGGGGGGGGGGGGGGGGGGGGGGTAAAACACTTTAGGAGCAGAAGTTATATTTCAAGGTGTACTGTGTAATAGACTAGTACCAGAAATGAGGCCCCTTACAGGTCTCCTGTCTTCTAGGAGCGCGCGGGCTTGTGTTCTGAGAGCTATCCAGTCCATCTCGGCCATCAAATACAATCAAACAGGAGGAGAGCGTACTTTGGATAAAAGAGAGAGATGGCTTTTCGATGGATAAGAACTCAGAACCAGAGCAGGATAAACTGAAAGAAGGACTCTGGTACTAAGGATTATTACACATGGAAACATGCAAGTGAATCACTTAGACATACTTAAAGATGTTAAATTGTATTCTAACAGCTTATTGTAGTCATAGTTTAACTGCAAGAACGCCCCAAAGCTATTATGGCTTTAGAAATAAGAGGGGGGGGGGGGGGGTGCTGTGGTTTTGACACAACACACCAGAAATCTGGAATCAACTTGTCTAGATTGATAGCTAGCTCTCCTCCCGTCATTTCGCCGCACTGAATGCCCGTACTGGGACGCTCCGCTGTGGTACGTTCACGATGCTAGGCACTGTCGAATAATTGGTCTAACCACACTTTGGCTCTCTCTCACCCATTGCCGAGCTGACATGTCCAAACCTTTTTAGTAAGGGGGGTAACAACTGGGCCGACAACACAAACCAGAAACATGCATAGACGCTCCTTAACGCCACGAGATCGTGTGGTCTGACAAGCGTTTTGAAGCTTGAGGTTGACCGTAATTAGCAACTAGGTGCCAGTATAGCATGCCACCAAGATGACATAGTGAACTGAAAACAGATCAGCAGAAGGTGCACCCCACGCCCAAACGTCAGATAAACCATGTCACCAAACGGACAGAAGTCTATACAGCGAAAGGCGCTAACGTGACTTGCACTGAACATCATACTACACCTGTGTCTATATCGCAGGCAACCATTTAAAAACGAGGCTTAAACTGTGACATTCTTATAGAAGTGACAAGAGTTTGGGTGGTAGGATTTGTACATGAACAAAGCACAGAGGGGGGGGGGGGGGGGGCTGGTTAGCATGGGGTTATCGATTACCAACTTGCATTCGATAGGCACATGAGGAGCAGAGACCCCTACGACAAACTATCTTATCTTATCAATTTTTTTGCTATTAGAAAATAATAGCTTATTTATTAAAAGACTGACAATTTTTTTCAATGGTGTTATTATATATAAAAAAGAAAGAGGTTTGTCAATAACATGCTATCTCTGGCACTACAATACACAAAGAGGACTATGGGACCCTTCCAAGTACTCCATATTAATCAGCAGTGAACAATTTTTAGCAAATACATCGAGTCCAGCATGCAACAATAATTAGATATTCAAATTTTAATTCTATCGCTATTTAATTCAGGATTAGGAGATAGTGACAAAACGTCTACACGTCAAACGTCGTCATCTTATCTTACTCGCTCCACTGTATGTGCGCCACCTTGACATACATGATATCATCATTATATAAGTCGCATTCAATGCGATGATTTCACTAGATTGCTTTCCTTCAAGCCGATCATACGTAGAGCATGTTGAGCTGGGCGATGCCCAGAAAAGCCATACACAGGAGAGAGGGAAGAGGGGACGGAATTTGGGGGGGGGGGGCGGGAGATGTGTATGGGGGGGGGGGGGTGAAGGTGAGGCTACCGGCAAACAAAAATGTACAGATGAGAAACTCTGACTACCGGGAGGGGCAGGCGAGTGGGAGGGAATGAATTGTTAACGGAATAGATAAGAGTAAGAAGATGCATGATATGGGAATTTGGAGACATAAATGAGGACCATTTATTATAATCGATAAGCATCTAACACGGGGAAAGGATGAGGGTATACAGGAGATACAATCGATTCGCAGTAGAGGCAATGCACTTAAGGCTTCTCACTAAAGATAGTCCGAGACATCGTGTGTAGAGGCAAAGCACCTAGTGAGACGCTGCATGCTCACTAACGATCCCATATCGTTACTCGAACAATTAATGCTTAGAAATCATTGTTCCACCAGCCCTGCCGCTCGCCATCTCAGCACTTCTACGATTTAAGGAAAAAAAGCTACCGACATTTAAAAGAGTTGTAGTCCGTTTTGCTCTTGCAGCATACACTACTATTACACAATACAGTCACAGCCGCAAGCTCATTCACGACTCACGTGACTCCGGATGACGTTGATGCATCTGATCAATAACGGTATGGGCAGAATGGCATGTTATGAGACAGAATCAATCTAGCATCATAAACACAAATAAGCACCAGCAATTGGCGGTGAGCGAGCACCACCGAAAAGAAGCTTAACTTCGGACGACCCAAAAAGCGTCAGGTTTCCAATAATGAAAGTGAATGGATGAAGCGCAGATCAGGTGAAAAGACCGAAAGCCCCGACGAGCAACTTTGACGCGAACAAATTCAAAAGGACTTCAAGCGCGTTCGCGGCCGTACTGACGCGCTCACTTAAGATATGACTTATCGACGCGCGAACGCTCGAAGTATAACAACAATCATCTACTTTGAGCCCGAAAGCTGAAGCAACTGCGAGACTTCATGATCTGCTTATCTGACAGCGGAACTTCAGACTCATATAGCAGAGACTCGAGCAGTCAGTCAGCAGCTAGAAGTCCCTGTACAAATCTGTCCATGAAGAGACGTCTTTGCTGCAATAGACCTTGTATATTCATTGTCCACATAGATGATTATTAGTATTCACATAAGTTTGTATGCAGTAGTACGTTCTGAGTACAAAACGTCAGTGTACACTTCATGCTTAGTTAGAACGTAAAGACGCTAGATTCTAATTAAAGAGACAGAACTAGGACAGATCCGAGTAGGAGTCTGGCAGTCAGAGCACGGCACGCTTCCAGTGGCGAGTGCGAGTGCGATAGCCGTGGCGAGAGGCAGGGGAGGACACCAAGCTGTAAGACACAGGAGAGCAGGCTGAGCGAGTTAGCTCGGGGAAGGACAGCATGGAAGTGTGCCATAAAAAGGAGGCATTTGAGCAGGTACATTCGAGACGAGAGCGGTGAGGCAGTGGAGACTGGTCGAGTGAGTAGTAAGGTACTTCTTTTATACAAAGCAGGTCCGCTCGAAGGAGAGATTTGGCATTGTGAGAGGCCAGGGACAGACAAGAGCGAATCGAGAGGTCAGGAGATGATGGCAGTGCGAGGCAGAGGCAGAGGTAAGTGACGAGGGCAGCGTGAGATGAGTCAGGTGAGAGGCAGATAGAGGCAGGCAGGGATCATATATATATATATACAGCGGGAGCAGCGGAGGAGGCATAGAATGGTCAATTAATGGAGGGTGAGAGGTCATTATCTCACAAAGTCAGTGAGAGGCAGTTTGGGAAGGCAGGGAGAGGCAGGGGGAGCAGGGAGACTAGGAGACGGAGGTGAAGCTAGGCAGGGATGAGCGTCGAGTGCAATGATGTACAGGGTCAGAGGTTCACTGGGGGATGATCAATGTGCAGGGCAATTGTAAATAGTCATGTGAGAGGCAGAGAGGCCCGGGAGAGGCAGTAGCAGTATGCAGGGAGACAATGCTGGAGTCGAGAAGGGCACGGAGAGGCAGGGGGAGGAGGAGAGGACAGAATGAGAGAGGCCTATGGGAGAGAGGCAAGTGAGACGAGCGAGGAGGGGGGGGGGGGGGGGAGAGGGGGGGGGGGTGGGATGGGGGGGGGGGTGGGGGGTTGAATACATAATATAATGGGGAGTGGGGGGGGGGTTGGGGGAGGGGTGTGGGGATGGGTGTGGGGATGGGGGATATATACATACATATATATGGGTGTAGAGGGGGGGGTGGGGGGATGGGGGGTTGGACATGTAGTGAAAGGGGGAATATGGTATCTAGGGAAGAGGAGCAGGAGGCTATGGACAGGGAGGACCAGTGAGAGCAACAGTGGAGAAGACGGGGCAGTGAGAGACCAAATTGCGCTTTGGTGAGGGGGAGATGTTGGGATGTTTAGGGGGGGTGTATGTTGGGATGGGGTAGGTGGGGGATGGGGTATGGTGTGGATGGTTGGATGTGGTATCTAGGAGGTGTATGGTGGGGGGGGGGGGGGGGTTGGTGGGGGTTGGGATGTGTTGTGGGTCTTTTATTTTATTTGTGGTGGGGTGTTGGTGGGGTGGGGGGGGTTGGGTGGGGGGGGGGTGGGTGGTGTGGGGTGTGGTTGGTTTGTGTGAGGTGTATTTGTGTATTGTGTTGTGGGGGTGGGTGTATATGATGTAGGTGTGTAGGTATGGTTAGTTGATTTTGGATTTGAGGTGTGGTTGTGATGATTATAGGAAAGAAGTACTATATATGCTATTGGATGGTGTTGGTTGGTTTAGGGTTAGAGTATTAAGTTGTAGATGTGAAGAGATTGGAGGGGGGGGGAGAGTCAGATTGGTAGTATGGGGTGGGTGGGGTTGGGTGAGAGGAATTATATTATGTGGTGTGATGTGATAGTGTGGTATATTACAATTGAGAAGAGAGATGTGGTATTTTAATAAGCGTGAAGAGAATATTGAAAATGGGAATTGAAGTGTTTAGAAGAAAGTTAAATGTTGATTAAGTTGTTATAGATGTAGAAAAAGTATGAAGTCAAAATGATAGGTAGGATCATATAAATAAGAATGAAGAGTATGTTGAGAATAAATTATATAGGATGCAAGTGCGCGTCAATCTTGCTGCTGTCAAAACTGCCATCAAATGCACGCATAAGTGAGCACAAAGTGGCTATCCACGAGTCGTACAGTTTGAGCGCGTACAAAAGCCATTTTATGAAGCTATTTGGTGCTGAACGCGACCTTAATAATATGAGCCACGCCCTCCATGAGTTGGCTATGTCTGGACTACGTTATCTCGTATTCACTACTACTCTCATTCATAGGTTCGGTCAACTCGTAGTTGACTCGCAATGATGTGAATCAGACGTATTGTCTGGGAGATTGACACTTTTTAACAAGGACTATTTACTAGCTTCTTATTTTTCGTGTAGCATTTTAAGTCAATTTAGTTTATATGTTTTACATTGACTTTTATTGCATGCAGTTTAACTTATAACAGTTGCTTGCTAGTACATCTCGGCTCCTAAACGAAATCTATATTCAGATCAATCGCAACGTATCTATTAGTGAGAGCGCCCTATTACCATTACCATCTCAATTGCAGTACGGACAGACTGCGCTTCAGTCATACACCAAATAACACAGTCATGCCTCCAATACACGATTAACAGACAAACGATGCATAATATGTAAGAAACATTTAAAAACTTAAACTACTCACAACAAATTACAAACTTTAGAACTTTAAATAATACACAGATCGGGACGATCAAAGATCATCAATCTAGATCGCAGTGTATAGTTCATTAAAAAGGACTATAAAGATAAAAACAAGATGACCAAGAGTATAAAACATCATTCTGTGATCTGGTAGAGTAGCTGCAGCTAACTTCTACGACTATTGTTGTTGACAGCACTGGCGGACTTGTGGGGTCGTGATGCTTTGTGTTAATGAAGGATTATTCAAATGGGTGCTAGTGCATCTATAGGTAGACGTACTGCCTGCTCTCACATTCGAATCTACAGGAATGACGATCCAGACTCATAGCACGCTTTTCCCCTATCGATTTTCTAATAGGGGATTAAATCGGATATTAGTCTAGGTCAATGTAAGTGCACTAATGGGTTCGATAATTACTACATTCCAAGTGGTCCCTTTTCCTTCTTTTGGGATGATAAGATAATCGACAAAAAAATCTCGGAAAACTGCAGTCTTCCACAGTGTACTAGTACCGACGTCTGTGCACAAAGTCAGCTGTTAGTCCTTTCCTGTCATCCTACAGATCCACGGGTCGGCTAATTGTTCATATGGGGCACAAACATTGTTCTCATTAGGATGTAACCGTTGCGCTAGACCATGGAGTTAGAGACTTGATACGACGAAATAACAGTCTGCAATTGAAGTCTTTCATTCAGCTGATGAACAGGAAGCCCAGTGCAGAGACCTGATGTCAACGCGACTAAAGTGCGTGCGCTCATGTAACTTCCTAGTTCTGGTCAGGACTCGAGCTGCTGACATGTTGAATGTACTGCGAGCTGTTTAAAGACGTTTTTTTTAGAACTTTGGACAGACCATGTGCAGCAGTGCCTATCTGCTGATACCTCAACCGGGTGGGGGGGGGGGGCTGGAGACATATATTTAGTTCTGTGTCATTATATGTTAGTCCTCTCTAAGTCTGCCTTTTAGACACTGATCAGTTATTTTCTAATTTCTTAGCTCAATGTCTTACTTTAGGTGGTAAGACTCATAGCTGGCCTGATCTAGATTGATCATGATTATCTCTATGTGGCTTGCTCCGAAATCTTCAGAGTCAAGGAGTCGCAGTTATCAACTCACTAGATTTGATCCTAAGCCTGATTATGATAGAGTTTAGAGCGAGAGCCAAGTGAGAGGTGACAAATAACGCTCTCTCTTGTTTCTGGGTCCGAAACACAATTATTCTCAGTTTTGCTCGGATGTTTGTTGGAGAAGATTTATTCAATGCCAACATGCCATCATCATCGATATTTCGTGACACTAGTGAATGGAGAGCGAGTCTTCACTGAGGTTCGATGCATCTCCACTCTGCTGCAGAAGGTTTCACATAATTAGAACGCTGTAGTACAGCAGGACAAGACTAATTGTGTTATCTCTGAGACTCTTTATTATCTGTGACATCAGAATCTGGCACCTAGAGGAGCAAAATGTAAATATTTAATATACAGTAAGAGAGACACCAGGATTGATCCTCGCTTGGTGTGCACTCCGGCGAGTCAGGGCTTCTATATAGTGTGTCTGTGCGGATATCTTTGTTCTCTTCTCGATCGTCTCACATAGTAAATGTACTTTCTGTCTTGTCAAATAGGATCAATATATACCTAAGCAGTTAAGGAAGGCGGTAGCCAGCAAGACCCTTCTAAGGCCCAGCCTCAAGTCTCCTGACAACTCGTAGGATGCCATGATCTAACTAGTGTCGTCTAAAAGAATTACTACAATTAAATCTAACAGCAAACTAAACTGTGACTGCAGCACATTTTCCTGCAGTCTATTTGATTTCAGTTTGATTGTAGCATTTGTTCAACCATTTACTCAATTGCGTAGGTCTCATAGATCTGTTGGTGGAGGTCTAAACATCTGACTAGGATTACATATCTCATATGAGCGTTTATCGATTATTAAAATCTTCTGTACGTTTGAGTTTATAGCGCTAACACTTTTCTCTAGATACTATATTTCGCATGAAATGGCAGATTGTGATAATGTAGTCCAGCTTAATTTTATGGAGTGCCAGCGGACTGTCCAGACTCCGTACTATCTTTTTAGGAGGGGCGGGCGGAGTGCGGGAGACCGCGTTTCAAGCCACGGTGAATGAGTCGCGGGGGGTAAGGGCCGTGATTTTCGAAGAGATTGCATATTACCTACTTATGATGTAAGTGAGAAGGTAAAAGACTGCTCAGAACTGGAGTCTGTGAGAAAATTCTAGGAGGTAATGACGCCATCCAGCTGGGCCATTGCGGTGTGAGGGAACTCGAGACTAGTGATTCATCTCCTGACGAGTTCTACAATAGTCGTGTACTGTAAAGTGCGATCAGCAAAGCCTCACTCCGGCGTGTTGCGATCATTACTCGGAGGAGGCATCGCACGAATGGCGATTCTTTGATACCACATTGGACTATTGTCAGTTAAAGAGCTGAGGCAAAACCCATCTAAACCTTTAGATTTGGAAAGCACATGTATATACCTTAGATGGCATACTTAACAGGCGGATTCGTTCAATGCCCATTCTTAATACCGTTGAACAATACAGTAATGCGTTACTTAGATTGTCTCGCATACCAGCCTATCGATCATAGTATTCAGAAACGATACATTTACACTCGTTCTATAATACTAGTTCCCTGTTAAAATTGGCACAACGCATCTTGACGACCTCGTCAGTGGTCAACCTTCGTGAGAATTTGAGCTGATCGGCGTCACTATCCGGGCCTACGTTCCCTGTCTCTCTGGCACAAAACTGCGTGTCTTTCTGATGACCTGAACGAGGTCTGACCATTTAGTCGGCATGGCGGCCTTTTTGCTGTTGGCGTAACTAGGTTTTAACCCTTGTATCAGGAGTCAAGTTGTACTCCAGAACCATTCGAAACATAGTGCACGGTGACAGAATCAATTACACATCCATCTACAGTAGCACACACAACGTGTTTTCCGAAGTTGCTACGCCTCGCCAATGATAACACGTTCGCCCACCCATTTACATTTGAAATATTAACCCCCTTGGTAATTAACAGATCGAGAGTGTGTCCTCTGCTGTGGGTGGGGCCACTCACATGCTGAGTGAGACCAAAGGTTTCCAGCACAGAGCTCAGCTCTATTGCATATCTATCATTAGCATTATCTACATGTATATTGAAATCACCTAACAATGACCAAACCATCAAAATCTGTGCACACAACTGAAAGCAACTCAGTGAAATGATCAGTGAAACTATGGCATGACTGTGGCGGCTTGTACACAACAATAATAAGAATGGAAGAAGATTTCTTTTGTTCTATTTTAAAAGAAACATACTCAAATGATGAAAATTTCCCAAGAGACACTCTATGGGAGACAATACGATCTTTAAAAACTGCTGCTATGCCCCCCCCCCCTTTTATTTTCTCGTGTTTCATATTCAAATTTGAAATTTGGTGGTGAGGCTTCTATTAAAACTGCATCTCCTGTATTATGGTCAAGCCATGTTTCAGTCATAAACATAAAATCAAGATCATACGAACAGATAAAATTATTAATTAAAAATGATTTGTTGCATAGTGATCTGACATTAAGTAGAGCAAGGTTAAAATTAATATCAGTGTCAATGGGTTTAGTTGATTGATTACAAAGAACTGGAATTAGATTTCCAGAGTTGGACCGTCTAACTGCTGTCCTTCTTTTAAATTTGTGTTTATTCAAGTTAAAACACATTTCTGAGCTGGTGCGAGAAACACACACAGTCTCTATTGGTTTAAAAATTGAACTCTGTTGTACTTTGTTAAGTTCCAGATGCATAACTGAGTCAGCACAGTTCAGTGGCAGGACTGTCGTTACACTGCCAGACTGACAGGGGTCAGTGTTTGCACCACAGTACTCACCCGGTGCTGGTAAGGAGGAGGAGGAGGGGGGTAGTGGGGGCCGAGAAGCCTCGGATGTAAACAGTCACGCCCCCCTCGGGGAGCACTGAACAACATGGCGTAGGAAGTCCGTCAACAAACTGGTGCCGTATCTGTTCGGGTGCAGACCATCTGGACGATAGGCCACGTGACGCTTCCAGAACAGGCCAAAGTTGTTCACAAAAATAAAGTTAAAAGTGCTGCATGTAGACTGGAGCCACATGTTGAGCGCCACAACGCGACTGTACAAGCAGTCTCCCCGGTTTACAGTCGGGACTGGACCAGAGATAAAAACACACAACCCGAAGGACTGGAGGAGGCGGAATAGATCCATAAAATGCTTCTTTGTGACCTCGGACTGCTGCAGCTTCATGTCGTTGATCCCCACATGCACGATTACCTTTGAAATGGTATCAGGCAGGGACTGAAGCAGAGGAGGGAGACGGATGAGCAGGTCTGGTACAGTGGCTCCGGTAATGCAGTGAGTGACCGCGTTAAAAAAGCGGACGTGCCTCACGATGGAATCTCCAACAATCAAAGTAGTCGGGGCGAAGAGTGGACGCGGCCGCGGAGAGGGCGCTCGGTGTCCATGGCCAGAACCAGCGGGCTCATCCAGGGATGGGTTCGAACCAGGGCGCTGCTGAACACATGGAGAGGAGTGGGGGTGTTGATTCCCAGCTCCGGGCAACCCACGCTGTGTGCTCGGGGACGCTGGAGCGGCGTGAGGAGCAGGCTCGGATCGCTGCTGCTGACCCGGTGAAGGTAAGTGGTGATGCACTGGGGTCAGAGAAGGGGAATGACCACTCTTTCGTCTGAGGACAGCTTCCTTTAAGAGTGTCTTTCTCGCAGTGGACCTGGATCCACGGACAGCAGTAGAGTTTGCTGCAGAGTCCAGGGGTTCTGCTGAGGGGGCTGGAATGTCAGCGGAGAGGGCTGCATAGCGGTTTGAAAGGCTCAGGACATGGGCCACGGCGCTGGATGGCTCCTCGCAGTCCGCAGGCTCTTTATTCCGAACCGGGCACTTAGGTGTAGAGCAAGAGGGCCCAGAGCTGACAGATCTCTCCCACACGACAGTGTCACAGTATGCAGCGCTCAGTGACATAAGCCGTGAGTGCTGCCCGCCAGCGACATCAAAAAGTTTGGACACGAGTGACTGTTTATCCTGCAGCTCTGCAGTGAGGCGAAGGACTTCTTTACGGAGGTCTGCAATAGTGGCACGGTCCCTCTCACGAAGCTCCAATGTGAGGCGACTAATGTCGTTCGTGGTCATTGCAGTGTCACTTTCCATGTCTGTGGTGCGCTCGTGGTAGCCTCCGAGCTAGCGCGTTTCGATTGGGTCTTTGTGTTAAAAGACGTGATGCTCTGGAACCATTAATAAAACACTAGAGTGTACAAAAGACACTAATACACCGTAAAAACGTGTTTAAAAGGCTTTAAAAGGCTTAAAAAAGGGTAAAACAGAGCAGAAACGTCAAAACGCGTGCTCCATCAATGACTCCAAATAATCAAAAAAGTGGCAAATCCATATTGTTCAGAAGCCAATCAAATAATAATTTAATAGTCTGGTTTACTATTCATCCAATCAAATTTGGATATTGTTTACTAATGTTATAACCACAGCTTTCCTGGGTCTACCCAAGGGACTGACCATAGAGTGACCACAATCACTCGCTCAAATATATGCTGTATTACATTCAAAATAGGCAAGATGAAAGCGTGAAAGCCAAAGAGAGAAATAACTAACCTGTTTCTTCATCGATGGTGAACCGGCCCAGCCCACTGCCATCACGAATGGAGTACTGTATCTCCCCGTCTCGACCATCATCTTCATCATTGGCTGTGACTTGAAGAAGGGTAGTTCCAATGCGAGAATTTTCTTTGATCACTCCAGTCAAAGCAAATTGGTTGAAATACGGTCCATATAGATTTTCATTGACGTCAACTACTTCTATTTCCACAAAAGTCACGGACAAAAGAGAAACCGGACGTCCTTTGTCTTTGGCCCGCACAGTGAGGTTGTAAAACTGTTGCGTTTCGTAATCAAGCTCCTTGGTCAATCGGATAGCCCCACTTGCTTTGTCCACTTCGAACCAGCCATTATAGTCATTTGCCAAAGAATACCGCACCTGACCTCCCAATCCCAAATCCGGGTCTTGAGTTTCCAACCAGGCCACTACTGTGCCAACTGGAAGATCCTCTAATGCCCTGGCTTTGTATACACTGGGAATGAACAATGGTGGGCAATCATTGACGTCTTCTAATGTAATTTTCAACGTTGTGACTGAAAACATTTGGCTACCTTTTTCAGCTTTGTCTCTTGCTTCAATTTTTAGATTAAAAATTGGAATGAACTCACGATCAAGTTGTCCGGCAACGTACACAATCCCATTTGATGAATTAATGGCAAATTGCGTGGTGCTGGTAAGAATAGAGTAGACAATCTCTCCATTCGAACCGAGATCTTTGTCTGTGGCTTCAACTTGGATAACGTCTGTACCAATGGCAGTGTTTTCAGGGATGACTATTTTGTAACCGGATTCTTGCAGAAAATGTGGTGAGTTGTCATTAGCGTCGTCAATAAAAACAGTAAGAAGTCTCCATGAGCTTCTCTGGGGTTGGCCAAGATCATAAATGGTCAAATTCAGCAGATAGCGATCGGTCTTTTCACGGTCCATTGGGAGAAAAATGCTGATAAGTCCTGTGTTCATATCAATTGTAAAGCAATTATCTGTATTACCATCAGAAATGGCATAAACAATTTGTCCATTGAAGCCAGTGTCGCCATCATAGGCATTCACTTGGAAAACACTTGAGCCAATTTTGAGATCTTCTCGAACTTTGATGTCTGTTGGGAACGCTTTATCAAATTGAGGTATTTGCCGATTGACAGAAAACAGGTCGATAAAGCCTTCCTCTATTTTGGATTTGGAGCCAGCTTTGGATTTCTTCAGTAGCTTCTCTGCGAGTTTTTGTGCCACTCTTGTTTCTTTGCAAGTGAAACTTTTCGGTGGTGTTTTGCCTTGTACAATTGTGACATTAACATAAATCGGATCAGAATAATTCTCCCCATCTGTGGCAGTAATTTTGATCGTGAACACACCATTTTTGGGAGTAGCTGTAGCAAGGGAACGGCGCAATGTCAGAACTCCCGAATCTGGATTTAAATCAAAGTAACCTAAGTCATTGCCTGAAATAATTTTGTATTTGACCAGTTCTAATTCGTCAACATCAATGGCGGACATTGTGGTGATTATTTCGTCAACGGGAAAGTCTTTTGAGATCACTCCCTGGCATGCCACTTTTTCAAACACCGGCTGATTATCGTTAACATTCTCGACATGAATAGTTACGTTGACTTCGCTTTCTCTTCTGTAAGGAGAACCCCAATCAGATGCTCTAACAACAAACACAAAGCTTTCAGATGATGTTTCAAAGTCTAGCTCCTTAATTGTGCTAATTATTCCTGAAAACTGATTAATTTTGAATGGTACAGGCTGCAAACTTGAAATACTGTAGGTTATATAGCCATTTTCGCCTTTGTCTTCATCAATTGCCGATACAGCGAGGACATTGGTTCCAATCGGGACACTCTCATTCACAAAAACCTCAAATGAAGCCTGGGTGAAAGTTGGTGTGTTGTCATTAGCGTCATCGATGCTAACACGGATTTTGACTTTTAGCTCGCTGTCGACTTCTAGCACTTCCAGGTTGAAAACATCTTGGGAGACTTCTGTGAACCAGCGAGATGTGGAGATAACTCCTGTCATAGTGTTAATACGGAAAAACGATGAATCGGCTGACGGCGCGAGGATGTATTCGGCGTCGTCTGGTTCTGGACTGATTTTCACAGCTACAACAATAGTGCCAGGTGGGGAGATTTCACTGAGGCTTGATTCATAAACCTCTTTTTCAAATTTGACATCTACAGGTTGTTTTTTACCGATAAATATTTGAAGAAGTTTGACGTCTGAGAATTTTGTTGGCGTTCCTCGGTCGCGTGCTTGTAAAGTTAGATTACAACCGAAAGGATAAGTGTCCCAATTCAAAGGCTCCGATCCCTTAATTATGAATTCATGATCATCTGTTTGTTCAACAAAGAAATGCTCAGATGGGTCCCCTCCGACAATTGCCACCGTGTCAATTTCTCCGTTCAAATCTTCATCCAAGTCTTCCACGGTAACAATTGCATAAACAGGGTTCTTATCCAGCAATGATGGTGTATGAGTGACCACATTCAAAGTTGGCGCATGTTCGTTGACTCTTTCTACATGGACAAAAAGCTTAGCTGTGCTGCTAACCCCGTTGTTTCCATATAGTTTCATTCCACGATCCACTGCGAGAATTTCTAGGTCGTATTTGCTTTGTTCCTCAATATTCAGTTTTCCACTTAGCGACACTACACCACTAGTTGGGTGAACTGAAAAAAGCTCAATTTTATCTTTGAAAAAATAATAAAATTCACCATTGGAGCCGATATCTGCATCTGTGGCTGTAACTTGTGCTATGCTAGTCCTGAGAGGAGTGCTTTCCGAAATAGTGACAGAGTATGTTGTTGGCGAGAACAGCGGCCGCAAATCGTTCATGTCCAAAACTTGTATGCTAACTTTTGTCCATGTTTCCAGCAAAGCCTCCCCTTTTATAGAAGCTTTTACCGTCAGTACATAGTTATCCTGGATCTCCCGGTTCAAAATGGCCGCATTCCCGCCTTTAGTCCTTATACGTAAAAAGCAGAAGTCCCCCAAAACGTACTCCTCTGCTTTGAAAAATCCTTCATCATCACCAGAAGTAATCCTATACCGGATTTCCCAGGAGCGTTGAGCCAGGTGTATGCCCATTTTAACTTTACTGTTGGCATAGGTGCGTGCTGCTGAGTTCTCGTAGACCGTGGCGTGGTAGACCGACTGGGTGAAGGCGAATCGAGGTCCATCTTGAGGTGCGGTTTGGCCGAGGGAGGACTCAAACAAAAGCAGCAGCAAAAGTAACAGGGCCTGGTGCAAGAGAGGGGCGCGTAAACCTGCCCACCGGCCCATAGTCACCTCCATCACATCGTCACTCCATCCTGCAACAACAAGAGATCGTAAAAGGTTAGTTAGCAAAACACCACCAGAATTTGTTTTTACACTAAAAGTAAGATCAGTAATGCTATGATATGCAATCATGGTGTAGGGATAATCTGTCAGATCAAATCTCTGCATTCAAATCACATGAAATACACAAAATAAAGAATACACAATAAACAGAAATACTCAGTTTACAAAGGGGTTACAGATGTTTATTTGGTTCCAACTCCCCTCACTCATCCGATACAACACAAAACATACACACACTCAAGACATGAGTGTGTTAACCATAAGTCCAGACACTCTCTGACCCTACACTTCCCTCCCATCACTCGCTCTTGCTGGGGGGATATGGTTTAACAAATTACTTTTATAATAGACTCTGGAAATAGAGTGTTGTGGCTTCCTGGCTTGTTCATTACAGCGCGAATGCAGTGACTTTTAGCAACTATTCACGTTTACTGTTCAGACTATGACATAAAACACATGCAGCTGAATGTTTGGTGGTCAACGCTAATTTGGATGTCAGAAAAATGTCTTGCTCTGCTTAACATTAAAATATGTGTAATGTCTTTACCAGACATTTACGTAATAATATGTCTTAGAGCTCATAATGTTAAGAAGACAGGACTTAGAGCTAAATTTATAACCATCCATCCATTTTCTTCCCCTTAATCCATTTCTGGGTCGGGGGGTGGCAGTCAGAGATGCCACCCAGTACACATAGCACCAGCCCCTCACTGTTCCGCCTGCAGGTGGTGAGTCCACAGGAGCCTTGATTATTCAGCAGCAAAGTGGGGTTAAGTGTCTTGCCTAAGGGCACAACGACAGCAGTCATCAGTGGGAGTCGTGTAGTAGGTCTTGTGGTGGGCTCGAACCCACGATCTTCAGGCCCAAAGGCCAATGCTCTACCGACTGAGCCACTTTACAGGTAGAAAAAATATGCAACCTGTGATGAGATAGATTGCTATTTCAATATTTTTGACAAATCTGCCAAAACAATCTTTTCCTGATACTTTTGATGAACTCCAGAACATGGCAGCAAACCCAAACCTCTCAGAATAGCAATTACAATTTACTTGATCCAAAACACTCAACATATAAAAACATCTACGGACATTTCTCAATATTTATGGACATTGGTCATCTGCACCTTATGAACCAATAGCTGTATGTGTTTTTATCTGATTTCGACAATTTAGTAAAGTCCTCCGAGATAACTACTGAAATGATTTAGGGCTATACAAGAATACATTGAATTAAATTGATTTGAATAGATACAGGTTGTGTCAAACCATACAAAATGAGTGAGTATTTAGCTTAGTGGGATTTCCTATTGGCCATTATGCCGCTCTTTGGATACAAGAACTGGTGCAGCACTTTGATTTGATTTAACGCCACACTCAACCATTACATTAAATGATAATTACAGACCAAACAAAGTGACAAATCAGCGTTTCAGGGCACGGCAGATTAATCACAGTTTACATCATGCTTGTGTGGTCTAGGGACACTGACTATTGCAAGCCTTAGAAAAACCGAGGATGGTTTGAGAAGGAACAAAATAATTGTACAGCCCCAAAGAAGCTGAGGAGTAACATCCCCAACGCAAAACGCTGTGCCAGAGAAAATGAGTGGCCTCGCAGTGTTGACCCTATCATAACCTTATTCCTAAAATACACCAAACTCCAGGACGTAAACCAGATATGGGTTCAGCAGCGGCTACGTTCGCATTGAGATTTTTTTTCCCTCCCGAGTTGTTCTCAAAGTAGTAGCCACAGAAATGCTGCCGCTGTATGGTTTGGGATTGGGCCTGATGTGATAAATGCCATGTTGCGGTGAGGGCTGTGCCACAGAGGGCTGGATTTGAAGTGACTCGGCGCTTTTCAACCACAGCGGACGCACAGACAGAGGTAAAAGCGGGTCTAGAGTCAGCGGTAATAACACGGTGCTCTGTTACATTCACATATATTGAGAAGGATCATCGTTGGAGTTTTTTGAGGGAAAAGCTCGGCCTTGACAAACCGCCTTCAACAATGCAGACTAAACTGAGGACTGGATTCAGCACAAATACAGAGAGCAGAGATTGGAGAAAGATGGACCAATGGTATCAAATGTTTAGTTTGATTGACGGCCAAAAGAAAAAGTAGTTCACACAAAAGAAATAAAATGTATACAATGACAACAACCAATGTAATAAACTTTATTCAATATAACTTTTTCTTGGAAGAGATCAAAATACCTCAGATATATTTCAGTTTGTTTGTACCTTGTTTTTTTATGAAACGGCTTTTCTAAAACATTGGAATGATCTTCATTCCAATGTTTTTTTCATTTTTTCCCTGACTAAGCACTGCTAGTGCTACTAATAATACTAATACTGCATCTGCTCCTGCTACTACTGCTAATACTACCACCACCACCACAACCACTCCTGCTACTGCTACTACTGTACTACTACTACAATAACTGCTACTACTGCTACTGCGACTACTACTATTACTACTACTACTACTACAACAACAACTTCTACTGCTGCTACTACTACTGCTATATCTTCTGCTGCTATTACTATTAATACAAAATACTACTACTGCTGCTACTACTGCTAATACTACCACCACCACCACAACCACTCCTGCAACTGCTACTACTGTACTACTACTACAACAACTGCTACTACTGCTACTGTGACTACTACTATTACTACTACTACTACTACTACAACAACAACTTCTACTGCTGCTACTACTACTAATACTAATGCAACTACTACTGCTACTACTACCACTACTATAACAACTGCTACTGCTGCTACTACTACAACAACTGCTTCTACTACTACTACTACTAGCAATAAGCTTGATTGACATCCAGAATTCCGAATATAGACAATGACCCAAGTAGCCGCTAGCCATCCCAAGCTTCCTCTGATGGCAACAGAATGTCACCACTCACTATGGCCACTCTTTTTGTTTACAATGAAATACTAATACAACCACTGCTATCTACTTTGTACATCACGACAGGCGTAGTTCTAAAAATACTGCCTCAGTGGTATGTATTTTTCCATCTAAAAATAATGATAATTTCTCCGTGTGGATCCGCAGCCGTGAACTTCGTCTGTCAGTGGCTGTAGCCCTCATTGTGTTTTGCTCAGGCGCTCATTAGGCCACGCTCCTGTCACCGCAGCAGAACACATGCAGGCCTGAAGCCACAGTCGCCCTGGGCAGGCCCTCGCAAAAGCCGCGCAAGACCGTGTGTGGTGTGCCTGTCAACTCTTACACATATTTGCGGCGTTGTTGTTGCGTCTCATACACAGTTTAGCCCCTGGGGTTGGTTCGAGGCCAGGGGCAGGAGTAAACGACGGGAATGAGTGTTGAAGCGATGTGTGTAAATACATACAGTATATGGAGGATGTATGAATAGAGGTGAAGACAGATTTTGAAGAAGTTTGAAAAAGAGTCAAATGTGTTATGATTTCTTGTATAACTCGAGCTCTGATTTCAGTTTACTAGATATGTATCGTTCTGTAAACACAATGGGAAACATTAGCAAGAGTCGTGTTGCAGAACTTAACCAATATATGTCTGGATAGGAGTATTGTAGTATTACTGGTAAAGTAGTAAAGTAGTAAATATGTATATGTATGTTTATTTTCTATTTTTGTTGTGATGTTTTTTTTTATCTGGACTTTGTGACTGTAAGAAAGCGTAATAATATTCATAATGGAGACAAAATGAGAGTTACAAAAGATGAGATATTAATTACATGGGATAATCTCACCGGTCAAGTAAAAAAACTCAAATAGATAGATGCTTTTGCAGGTAGCTAAAGTTAATTGACATACATTTTCTTTACCATAACCAATTTCGAGTTCAGGGGGGTAGCATTCAAGAACACAACGACAGCCGACATCAGTAGGAGTCAGCGGGATAGAACCCACAGTCTTCAGGCCTAAAGGTCAATGCTCTACCAACTGAACCACTGACACGCCCTAATTTACAACTAATAAATATATGGCTGCATAAAGATTTAATGTTAAACTGGATTTTCCTACTTGCTCATACGCACACACAGACACACACACACACACACCATTGTTTTTAGAGTGATTCACGCATGTTAGACTCATTTATATTCACATTTTCATACACGTGAGACAACATCGCTCTCCCCAGGCTCCTCTGACCTTCGCCGCAGCGTCAGGCCTGCTGTTTTTAAGTATCTATTTCACCCGATTTCTTTTCTTAATCCGTGTGGATGTGGTCGAGGTTGAGCACACATTTTTTCTCAAAGAGATAAAGCGGCCTGAATGAGAAAGTGTGCAGACTAGTAGATATATGGATAGATTATATTCCCCTCTTTAGGAGAAATACAGGTGTGCAGCAGCAGAAAATACATCATCCACAAATATGAAAAAATACATAAATGTTTAAGTCAGACAGGCCTGTTATATAGTCTATAGTGGTTTGTACTTGTACTGTATATAAAGGTTTTAGATCAATATGGAGATTCAAATGTACTAAATATCGTGGACTGGCATAACCCGACCGAGTCTTCTGTGAGAACTTAGCAACAAAAGCAACAAAGAAAACTGTTTAAATAGCCTGGGGCTTGAATGTGGGTCAGGTGAAGAAGGTTATGAAATAAAAATGTGTGTAAAAAGAGTTTCAAAAGAGTGAGGCTCTTATCAAAGCTTGTTGTCCTTGTAAAAAAAAAAAGATTTTGCTCCATGTGGATGATAGGCTTCTGTCATACATTATAATCTGATTCTCTGGGTGCCTGGGTGATGTGACAAAAGTTAATTTTGATATTTTGATATGTGACGTTCTTGTGATGAACAGCTGACGCGGGTTAAAACAACTCTCCAACCTTCCCCACTCCTGAGTCCAAACACCATTTTGGGGCGGTACAGTTGCGCTGGGGTTGGCACTCTCGCCTCTCAGCAAGAAGGTCCTGGGTTCGAATCCCAGTCAGAAAAAGTCTGAGAGTTTGCATGTTCTCTCCGTGTCTGCCTAGGTGTCCTCAGTGTGCTCCGGTTTACTCTACCATTAAAAACATGCACAGTTGGTACAGTCTTCCAGCTCCAGAAGTCCTGACCAAGCCGAGCATCAACATCTCAGGAAGGTTCCCGGGGCGCTGCAAACCAACTCGTCTACTGCATCTGACAGAGATCCTAGTCGCATTGCATGATGGGTCATATGCAGAGTTCATATTTCCCCACATGGATAAATACAGTGTACCTTAACCTCAACACACACCACAGTGAGACATAACCCAGATTATCACTATACCAGGCAGAGGCATGCAAAACCTTCTACTATGAAAACACCTCAAAATTTCAAAATCAACCAAAAGAAATGTATTATTCATTCCATTTCTCCCCAGCATCACAGACAGCTACTCCCAGGTCCAACGCTGTTTTGACACATTTTAGATTCAACTTGTACAAACACTTTACAACCAACCATAAAGAACAAAAAAAAGATAGTTATGCATTTTTTTGGCTACTATAAAATCACCGCAGCATTTTGTCAGCCCAAAGTGAATCAAAGAGTTGCTTATTTCTGACAGATTCTTGTGGTTGGGATGGTTTGGCCCCGGGCTGCTTCACGGATCAGATTTCTGATGGGGAGCAGACTTTGCCAATGTTCATATGACGCTGCACAAATGAACTGTTCCGCGGACGACCTCCATCTGCAGCTCTGTGTCCCACCCTGCGGCCAGACGTGCACCAAATCATGTTTTATTCAACATTACACTCGTTTAAGCCGCACTATCAGATCTGAACCCTTTTAAAATATTCCACAAATACCAAGGCCCTGTTTTCTTGTACTCTGTTTACTGGGAGTGCAGTTAGCTATGAAATGGAATCTATGCCAATCAAATGATGACTGATGTATTTTGTGTCTCTTTTTTATTTGTCAAACGTTCAACAAAAGTTTTACTGCGCAATTCTCTCTCACTGAGTTTTTCCTTTTTACAGGTGGATCTAAAGATGTTAACGAACCAGGACACTAGATAATGATTAATATGTCATCCTACAGACCAAAGATTCTGAAATGTTTTGTATTTGTGAAAACCTGATATCTGCAGACCTCAGAAGTTAAGCAGGGAAGGGTGATGGCTCTGATGGTGGGCAGCCGTAATGTGCCAAGATGCCATTGTGCCCTTAGGCAATGCACCCACATGGAATGCATTGGTTGTGTGAATTGTTGTTAGTTGTTGGTGGTTGGATACTAATTGCCTCGCCTCTGTCAGTGTGCCCCATGGCAGCTGTGGCTACAGCAGTAGTGAAATTTGAACGCATCATTGAGTTTAAAAAAATTGGTATAAAGATACATAATTTATATGATATATATATATGTATATGTATGATTTTCTAATCTGATGTTGGTGAATCAAAAATTCTGTTACACACAACAGTTGTTGTGATTCAATAACAGGTTAGAATAGAGCCATGATAAATGTGTGAATTTAACAATACAAAACAAATAAGCCCCACTTATTAAAACATTCTTTTAAAAGGAAGCTAAACATTTTAAAACAAATGTCTGTTTTAACTTTTTGATTTTTTTATTGGACAGATATTGTTTTGTACTTGCATCTGTGGAAGATGGCATAATCAAATCCCCACAGTGGAAGCAAAACAACTAGCCTGCAGCTAATCAGTAAGCAATTTTACTTTTAATTTGTGTTGAATCAAAAATGACGCACGTGCTCCGTGAGTGCCGTGTCTTACCTCAGTTAAAAATATTTGATTAAATTCTACAATAATGAAACTAACAATTGCAATTATCTCCCTGTGCGATTATGATTAAGAGACGTAATAATTGCATACTTAATCAAATGACAAGATGTTTACACACACACGGATTACAAAACATATTGGTTAAGGCTGCTTCCCATAACCGTGTATGAAGTTAGTAAGTCTAGCCAGTAATTAAAACTCCACCACTCCAGAAAGCCATTTGGTTTTCCACACATGGAACTTGGCAGATGGCGTTTACGGCCAACATATTTGATGCTAGTTTTGTGTCTACATTTTGAGACTTCCCTCTGGTTTGTGGCTGGGACTCTTGTACCCACTGCACTGCTGAAAATATCGCAGAACAAGCTCTACCAATCTCCCTCTTTGATTCGCTAAAGCAGTCATTTGCAAAAAAAAAAAAAAAAACAGCTGCTGCTTGCTCCGGCAACGCAATCTGTGCTTAGGAGAATATCGAGCGTCGGCCTGACCCACATTGAGGAGTCTGGGAGGACGCCTCGGAGCTGTGGAAGAAGCATTATACAGTGAGAAAGTCTCTTTGTCTGGCTTCACAATACAGCATTGAACGCTCTCTGCTCGATTCATTTAGTTAAGTGTTTAACTGTTCCCCAGACTGGACCAACTGCACCGGGAAATACAGTCAGGGGGTTGGTTACGGACGCAGGACTTTGATTACATTTTTAGAACTACTTTTTGGGAAGGATTGGTCACTGCTCTTCATTTTGCATTAATTGTTCCTTTTATCCTTGGTATAGAGTTCCTTTAAGAATACTGTACATCCATTATACAGGGATAAGGGATACAACTTGAAGAATGTTATTGATAGAATGACAGATTGATTGGATGGATGGATGGATGTAAGAATGGATGGATGAGGTAGAAAGAGAGATAGATAGATAGACACCTGAGTGGGTTTTTTGTGGGAAATTTAATTTAAAACAGCCAAAAGATGAAGCCCTGAAACATTCGAAAAGATAGAGGACAACTAAATTCTGCTAATCTAACAGCTTTGACGGAAAAAAAGTCTCGTGGCGATGGCTAAAAATATGGTGATGTCGCGCCACAGTGGAGCGCCAAGGCAATCAATGCACTATCCCAAAACTTCCTGTCTGCCTGTCTCTTTACAAACTCCAATTGTTTGTTAAATGGTGCGACTAAACTGAGCCAAGGCTTGGGAGAACCAACCGAACGTGACTCTTCTCTGTTTCAAGTGGATAATTACGTTGTGTCCAAACAAGAGCAGCCCACATGTCTCTCTCTTTCTCTCTCTCTTATCTCCTCCCCTCTCTCTAATACTCCCTCTACATCCACACCACAGAGACAGGCAAGGAAAGAAAGCACTTTTTCCGAGCAGCTCCTCTTACTGTCAGACCCTAAACTGTGTCTCATTAGCTTTTTGTTAAACTCTAATAGAGCCAGAGTCACGACGCTCATAAGTCCACAGAGTGACCACAACAAAGATGACAGTGCGGGAAGTGCACGGGCCTCGAGAAAACGACCTCATGCATTTATTCATGTCAAGCTTTGGCCAAGAGGCACCTGTATTAAACGACGTAATTACAGCGCAGACAAATACAAATCAAACAGCGGGAAATTATAGACTAACTCCTGTGCTAAGGCAGTCGAAGTCTTGGGTGAATGAAGGAATGAAGGGCAAGAAGTCAGGTTGATATTTTCCTACAAAACTCACTTTTTCTTTAAAACGTTAGCATTAGTTTGCAAATGTGAGCTCTTTCTCTGTAACTGTAGCTATCAGACAAGTCTAATAGTGTTGAGATATAGTTATAGTAATTCCAGTTATAATAAAAGCTTCAGGCTAACAGGTTTGATTCATTAATTCCTTTATTCATTCTCTACCCCTTTTATTAGTCAATTTCTGGTTTTTTTGGGGGGGGGGGGTCAGCCTCTAGGTCAGTT